AGTGTTGGACGAGAGAGGACCAGGCCTGGATTCTGTTTGTGCGCGACAGTCGTCCGCGAGGGGCTGTCGCGCTATTTTCTGTTTGTTTTATTATTAAAGTTTTCTTTAAATGTTCGCCGGTTCCTGCCTCCTTCTTCCCGACATACGAACTGTGTTACGTTGGTACCTAAAACAGACGGCTCTGTTCGGTTCTGTGTGGATTATCGCAAAGTGAATGCTTTGTCGAAATTCGACGCCTATCCAATGCCGCGGGTTGACGAGCTGCTTGATCGGCTGGGTGCAGCTCGCTTTTATTCGACACTGGACTTAACCAAAGGATATTGGCAGATCCCCTTATCGCCCCTATCCAAAGAAAAGACAGCCTTCACAACGCCGTTTGGATTACACCAATTTGTTACCCTTCCTTTCGGGTTGTTCGGGGCTCCGGCCACTTTTCAGCGGCTCATGGACAGAATCCTCCGCCCGCATGCCGCCTATGCCGCTGCCTATCTAGATGACATCATTATTTACAGTCAGGACTGGCAGCGTCATATGGCGCATCTGCGGGCTGTCCTACGAGCTCTGAGAGGGGCCGGGCTGACGGCCAACCCGAAGAAGTGTGCGGTTGGGCGGGTGGAGGTAAGGTATCTGGGCTTCCACTTGGGTCATGGGCAGGTGCGTCCCCAAATTAATAAGACGGCGGCAATTGCGACCTGTCCGAGGCCCAAGACCAAAAAGGAGGTGAGGCAGTTCCTGGGGCTGGCAGGATATTATAGAAGGTTTATACCTAATTATTCGGACCTTACCAGCCCACTGACTGACCTCACTAAAAAGGAAGTTACAGATCCAGTCCAGTGGACGGAGATGTGTCAGCAGGCTTTCAGCCAGGTAAAGACTGCTCTGTGTGGCGGACCGCCGTTACACTCTCCTGACCTTCTCTCCCCTTCTTGTTGCAGACAGACGCGTCGGACAGGGGGCTTGGAGCGAGGCCGGGTGCACAGATGGCTGTAGCCGACTTTCTATGAAGGTAGAATGACGTCAAAAAGATTTGCATACGCAGGGTAAGAGTTGTGGATCAGCCCCGCCCCTCTCGTCACAATAAGAAAATGTAAAAATTTAAAAAAACATTCTAATGGGTTTGTGTAATTTTATAATTATAATTTGCACACTAACCCCTGATGGACTCTTCAAGAATGGATATTTGTGGATAAAAGAATGGATATGGTCAATAGTCATCCTGCTAGTAATCTCCTTTTGCCTCCAGGCAAAGGTCCTCCTCATTCGCTCTTCAACAATGTATCTGGCTTTGTCCTTCTGTACTGGTCCTGCAGGACTTTCAAATGTCCCTCTATTGATGCAGCATTCTCTCCAACAACATCAGTGTCCTTGTGCATTGACATAAACAAAACATCAGGTTAAATATTATTTCTAATTTCTAAGCAAGAAAATAATGAAAATGTTTGCATCTTGCCACTTGTAATAATGATAAATTGGAGAACAACACACTGGAAACATGTAGCACTGTAAAAAGATTATAAAAATATGCTTTCATCAAAGGCCTTGTAATTTGTTTGCAATTGCTTATAGTATAGTATTATCTATATCAAATATTGTTTATGTCATCAAGTGTTCTTTAACAAATAAATATTTGCTTGAGTGCTGTCCTTTTACTTTATTAATCGCTTGCTTTGCCGTTTGATGTCTCAACTCAACACAAAATGGCCATGTATAATCTGAGTGAGTGCGGTGGGCAATTCTTGTACGGCCTATAACAAAATGTCATCACACTCGCTACGGCAAAAAAGAAAAAAAAAAGGTCTCAAAATGTAAAACACTAATTACAATGGCTAACATGCAGTGTTGGCCTTTGGCCATAGTTATTATTAAAGCAATAAGATATGAGAGGCTGTGTAAATATACTCACGGATAAATGGTGTTGTCACATTGAGAAAATCTTTGAGAAAATACTTGATTTTCTTAACACGTTTCAACATGTTACAACATGCTCACCTTCAAAAAACACCCTCCTCTCCTCTTCTGTGACTTGTATACCAAATTGCATTAGCCGTAGACATCTTCCCCAAGAAGGCTAACATACTCCAGCAAGTCTGGTGCAAGTACTTTTCGCAGGTTTAAAGCAAAGGAACACAGAGTTAGACAAAATCAACAGAACATGGCGTGACACGAGTAAAAATAAGAATATAACATTCCACATTTACCTGAGAAATCCAAAATACTCTGCATTGGAAATCATGCAAAGTTCTGTCAAAACAGGCCCTTACACACTCTCTTCAGAACCGAACGACTCCAGCCAAGCGGGGGACATTTTCTATTCAAAAACAACCATAACGTCTGCATAAGCAATAAGGTACGTTTTGAATATAACTACCTGAGTATAATTAATTGTTGCCATTCCACATGGTCCTTATTTGTGGCAGTTGTGGCCTAATGGTTAGAGAGTCGGACTTGCAACCAGAAGGTCACGGGTTCCGGGCTCGTACCGGCAGGGATTGTAGGTGGGGGGAGTGAATGTACAGC